TTGTTTGTTTTTCTTTGCCTTTTCCTTTCATCCGGGGATTTCACAGTGTTTGTCCCTAGGTCACGCGGGAGGGCAGTGGAACCTGCGGCAGCCTCGGGAAAGAACGGGCTTCGGGGGGACTTACAGGCACATCCGTCCCCCGTCTATCTACTGAGGGACCCGCTTTGCGACAGAAACGGTTGTGAACGGAAGTCAAAGAAACCGAACTGTTCCCACGGAACGTGCGCTTTCAGCAGGAGATTAGACAGGACAGACAGACGGACAAATACAGAGCGTCCCCTCAGACGGAGCAACGACGGAGACAAAGCATGTTCGCGGACATGGCGGCAGAGGGCGCTGTTTCCCCTTCACACCGCGAACCAAGCGCCCTTCAGTTTCCTTTCTTGTTTAAAAATTATTGATTTTAGAGAGAGAGGAAGGGAGACGGGTGGAGAGGCACGTCCCCCGGCTGCCTGCCCTGACCGGGCCTCCCTGGGGGTCTGGGTTCGGGGTCGACGCTGAACCGCTGAGCCCGCGGGACAGGCGGCTCCGGGGCTCGGTCCCGCGGACGCGCTGCTCCCGCCCGTGGAGCCGGACGCTTTCTCGTTTCCCGCAGAAACTCAGGTCCCGGAGCTTCACCCGCGCCCGTGGGAACCGGCTGCCCTCGGGCTGTGGGCTGGACACAGGGCGGGGGTGGGCGTCAGGTGGGCGGACAAGCGGCTGCAGCGCCCCGCCCTCAGCCCCGCGCCCCGCGCCTAGCACTGCCCCCCAGGGGCCGGGCAGGGGGCGGAGGAAGCGCTTCCCCTTCACCTGCGCAGGTGCCGCAGGGCGTCTCCCCCGGGCTGTCCCCCGAAAGGACGTTCTCAGCGCCTGTCCTCGGGGTTGTGCTCCAAGGATCCTGCGGGTCTTCCGTCTAAAATGCGGCTTCGTCGGGAGGTGACGGCGGGTGGTGGTCGGTTTTCCTCTATTTCGGGGCTTTACGCGCGTCATGCCGCCGACCCGACGGCCAAGGCCGGGGAGACCCAGCGGCCCCTCGCCGGGGGCCCGCGGCGCCGGGTCGTGTCTCCCCCGCCGCGGCTCCTCCTGCCTCTGACCTCCCAGCACTTTGCTGAGCTGGGCCCTCGACGTGGTTCACGGCGTCCGGCCCGCCCGGATCTCCCTCCGCCTTTTGAATCTGCGCTTTTACGCGTTCACCAAACAGAACCGCCGGTGCTCGTTCCTTCAGCCCCTTCCTGCGGGGGGCTCTGGGCCTTTCGGGGAGACGTGACCCATGTTTTGCGCAGCTTACATCTGTCACCTGCAGGGACACTGGCCCAGATTGTCCCTGTGGAAGGTGCTGAGGACCCTGCGGGGCAGAGCAAGAGGTCGTGCTGGGAGCTCGTCCCCCCAAACGCCGCCTGTCGCTCCCCAATAACAAACACGGGTACACGGCGCTCTGCAGCCCGTCCCCACCCCCCCCAAATCTGCGCATCTGACCCCAGAAATGACCGACGACTCCCGGCGTCCACGCGGCACCCACGGGACGGCCAGTTGGCCGCGGCACGAGCTGTAGAAGCAGGTTAGGAATCCGCTGGGGACCCAGGCTCCGAGCCCAACAGTACCGACTGTTTCCGTCCCTTGGGGCCATCGGTAATGTTTACGCGGAATCTCCCGAAACGGAGGAAAGCAGAGGCCGCAGGCAGCGAACAGGCTCCTGGCGCACAGCGGAGGGAAACACCAGAAATCAGGCCCCACGTGGCTCCATCCTTCTGAATCGTTGTTCAGGTGTAGAAATCTCATCCTGGCGTGAAAGGAAAACACGTGTGAAGCGACCAGCCAGCAGTGTCCCTCCCTTAGCAGTGGCTCCGAGCTCTGGGCTCGGGGAGATTTCCACGCTCTTCTTTGTCTCCTTCCCCGTTTCCGACCACAGACCTGTCTAATCCGCGCTCCTCTCCGCCCTCCTCTGCTTTGTATTTCTCCGGAGTCCTTCCCACCGCCGACCTACTGTTCAGTTTGCTCGCTGGCTTCTGGCGTCTGCACAGAGGAGGGAGGAGCTGGGACGTGAGCGACCGTGAGTGTGCTTTTGGGAGGCTGCAGGGGGCAGAGACCCTGCGGGTGAGAGGAGGCCGCGCCCCCGGAGACCCCGCTGTGGCGCCCTGGAGGGCGGCTCCTGGGTGGGGCCTCGGGGGAACCCCTGAAGGTCGGGGTTGGATGCCTGGCCCGGGCACACACCTGGGCGTCAGGTCCCATCCCGCTCGGGCACCTGCGGGAGGCAGCCGACCAATGTCTCTCTCACATCAGCGTTTCTCTGTCTCCCCCGCCACCCCCTTCCACTCTCTCCAAAGAAATCAATGGAAAAAGTGTCCCCAGGTGGAGATTAACAAAAAACAAAAAAGAAATCAAGTGAGAGAAGGTAGTCTCTGCAGAGGACCTGGCACACCTCTTACTATTTTTATTTGTAATAAGATCAAAGAATGGGAAGGCAGCTTGTAGGAAAGAGATTAAGTTTTGGACCCGAACATAAGAGAACCTCAACAGCCATCATCTCCCAGGAGCGTGGGTACAGGACCAAAGGAAGCTGGAGGAAGGCGAGACGGGATTCGACTGGCGGTTCTGGGGATGCAGGGCAGGCCTCTAGCTCACTCCCCTTTCTCTTGCCTCAGCTTTGCTCTCCCAGGACCCGGCTGTTCTCCAAGAGAAGCCAGGAAGAGATGCGGAGAAAGCCTGTTACAGACGGAGACGCCCGGCTGCGCCCCCGGGTCAGTCCCGGTGGAAAGGAGGCCCGGGGTCAGCTGCAAGCTGGGGCCTGAGGGCCTCTCAGCCGGTCCTGGGGCTGCCGGGCGGCCTTGGCATCCACACTCTTCCCACGAGGCCACAGGGCAGACCCAGGACCAAGTCAGCCCCGGACCCTGAGACCCTCCCTCCGCCCGCCCTGCCCACAACCTGCTGGGCATGGATCCCGACCGCGGCTGGGCCCGGGAACCTCAGTCAGGTTTCCCCTCAGTGCTGTCTGCTGACTGGGCGGAGTCCACGCTCTCTCTATAAAATTCCCACACTGTCCACAGAGAAATAAAAAGATCACGTGAAGTAATAAACGGTCAAGACACACTGGAGAAAAGTTTGTTTGGGGGGACAGTGTGGAGTCAGCATAGAATTGCACACCCATGGTCCCGCCACCCTGGTCGAGGCAGAGTGGCCCAAGGGACCCTCGGAGCCCCTGGGAAAGCGGCCCTCAGGTCCCACTCCTTCCCCTCTGTTCCCCCACCCACTGCTTCCCCCCATTTCCTTACCTCAGGGGGCACAGGTTCCTTCTCTAACCCCCTCTGCTCCCAGACTCACAGGTGTCCCCTGGGGCGATCAGGGACTTCCCCCGAAATTCAGAGGAAGGCGAGGTCCCTGGGGTCTCATAAAGTCCTGTCCCTTTTACTGTTTCGAGGGGGGAGCAGGGAAGTGGGTCTCCTTGAATAACGTTCCCGGCTGGACAGCAGGTGTGTGGCCCCCACCTGTGAGCATCGGGAGACCCTGCCCCTGAGAGCCAGCAGGGATCTCCAGGTCAGTCCATCCGTCCTCCTGACGTTTTGTGTGTTTTTAAATCCTCCACCGAAGATATTTTTTCCATTGCTTTTCAGAGAGAATGGGAGAGAGAGAGAGAGAGGAACATGGATGTGAGAGACACACAGGGGCTGGTTGCCTCCCGCACATGCTGCCACCAGGGCCCAGGATGGAGCCTGCAACCGAGGTCCTGCCCTTGTCGGAATCCACCCCTCAGACCTTCAGCCTGGGGGCCGACACTAACCACTGACCCAAACTGCCCAGGGCCCTTCTGGCTTTTGACTCCCTGCCGTCTCGTCTGTGTCTCAGTCAGTCTCTGGTGTATGTAGTGAGTCTGCCAAAGGGGTTTCAAAGTATTGAAACCACGGACTCTCGCACTAGCAACATGAGAGGGAATGAGTCCACGTTCCTGCTGACAGCTGATTGTCTGGCTTCGTAACTTCCCCAGCCTGGGAGCTGAGCAGCGATGTCTCATTATGGCTTAATTTTAATTCCCCCTCTGAAACTGCTGGGCAACTTTCATAAATGAATGGGCCACGAAACATCCTCAATAGGACGATGACTGGACTCCTGGTCATGACTGAGGGGACCCAGTGACGTGCCAGCGTCTCTAACTGTTGTGACACTTTTGCTATTGACGGATCTCTGGTCAGAGGCCTGGGGGATGAGAAGAAAGGTCTGGTCTTGGCCCCGGTTCCTGGCACCCAGCTCCTAAACCCTGGGCATCTCCTGAGGGACAGGTGACTCTGGGATGCTAATGAGATGGCTCCTGGCTGAGGGACCTGGAAGCTTCAGGAGGGGGCTGGTCCCAGGAAGACCAAGCTTGGTCAGAGGGAGGAACTTCCAGGCCCTGAAAGGAGGAGAGAGCAGGATGAGGCTGAAAATCCATCTCCAGACACCAGACTCACGGTGCAGGGACCTGGGGCCTTGTGGACAATGACAGGGAAGCGACCCTGTTGCTGTCAGAGGGGAGGGAGCCACCAAGAGAGTGAGACCAAAACTCACACAGACAGTCACAGGCGGAATCTCTACAGAAAAGAGAAACAACAAACAGCCAGAAGATGGGGCTGAGGGGGCCCCAGGCCTGAGTCCAGGCTGACCAGGCCCCTCCCGCCCTCACTGTCCAGGGTCCTGGAGATGAGCTTCACGAGGACGAGTGACAGGGCCTGGGATGTGTGAGTCCCTGTGACCACGGGTCCTGGTGGGACAAGGTTCCCTGAAGGCACAAGGTCAAAGCCGCAGAGAGGTGACCCGGCCGGGCAGTGACCACATCAAAGCCCACAAGGCCCTGGGCGCCCACTGGGCACAGGCCCCGACCTCACTCGGTCCTCACAGCCTCTGCCGTCCACCTGCCCAGGCTCAGCACAGCACACACAGGGCTTCTGGAAAGTCCTAGGTGCTCCCCTGTATTTCCTCTCAGACTTTAGGACCCTCTCCTCTAATTACCCATCAGCCCTCATGGCAAGAAGTCAACAAAGTCATAGCCAGAGCCTATTTCTTCGATTTCTTTAATGTTTGTACAGATTTCATGGAGGAAGGGACAGGGAGAGACAGAAACATCGATGAGAGAGAGAAACATTGATTGGCTGCCTCCTGCACGCCCCCAACTGGGGATCCAGCCAACACCCCGGGCATGAGCCTGACTGGGAATCAACCAGAGACCTCCTGGTGGATGGGAGACATTCAACCACTGAGCCACACAGGCCGGGAGGGGTCTCATTTCAATACAGTAGTAAGAAGCTGCAGATCAGTGCAATCGAAGGGGGGGGGGGCAGCCCCGCCTCTGCTGGACAGGGAAGTGTGGGGAGGGGACCTGGGGGCAGGGCTGGGGCAGCCTCCCAATCTGAGGTTCTTGAGTCACCAAGTGGGAGCCTGAACAGATCTTCCATCACTCAGTCCCCACAGGCAGCTGCCTCACGCTGTGGAAGGAAACCATCAGGAACAAGTTCAGGGCAGTGGCTCTAACTGGTCACATTCTCAAAGGTCCACTTCATGCTCACAATGTCCACAGAGTCCCCATAACCCAGTCCCGTCCCCTCTGCCCCAAACCCTCCCCATTCAGGGTCTCACCTTTAGAAGCCGAGAGACACACATCAGAGCCCTGGGCGCTGTCACTGCCTGGGGTGGACACAGCAGGACATGGTCAGGACCCTGGACAGGAGGCTAAAGGAGGGACTATGGAGTGGCGGGGTCCCCATGGGCTCCCATCTGCACTGTCCAGGGTCTCAGGGGGCACCCCCTCCATACTCACTGGCAGCCTGAGCGTAGCTCCCTCCTTTCCCACCTGCGGGAAGGAAACATCCTGTGAGAGACCAGGGAGGGGGCAGGGCCATGAGGTCCTAAAGGAGCCTAGTCCTGGGCCCAGAGAAGTTTCCAGAACCCTTTGTACAGACCCAGGGCAGGGTCAGGAAACCTGAGGAAAGTGCATGTGCAGAGACTGGACCCACCTCCCTCCTGCAGGTCTGTTCTCACCAGGGACCTGCCCTCTGACCTGGGACTGTTGGGGCCGGGTCCCCATCACTGGACCCATCAGGTGACACATGTGTCTCTCAGTGTCACACCTGCCTCACTAAACAGGAAGTCATCACACAGGGCCCCACACTGGCAATCCCAGGCCTGGGGACGGTGCTTCCCATGAATGCAGCAGGACACACGTCTCCCTGGGATGACACCCCAGGGGGACACGAAACTCACACCCCCCTTCCCCACCTGAGCGCCTCCTCGCCCACATCACAGCTCCAGCCACCACAGCTCCGAGGACAACCAGGCCAACAACAGTGCCCATGATGATGAAGGGGGTCTGAGAGGGAGGCTCTGGGAAGAGGGGGGAAGGGAGGGTGAGGCCCTGAACCCCAGGCCTCAGCCCTGAGCCCCCTGGAGCCCCCAGAGGCCCCTGCTTCCCTGGGAAGAGGCTCTGTGCCCACGTCCCCTCCTCACCCCATCTCAGGGCCCGGGGCCCCGGCAGCCCCTCGTGCTGCACAACACAGGTGTATCTCTGCTCCTCTCCAGGGGGCACCCCCAGGGACGCCCACTTCTGGAAGGTCCCGTCCCCCGCGGGCCTGGTCTCCACAAACTCCATATCCTGGGTCTGGTCCTGCCCGTCTCGCTGCCAGGTCAGGCTGATGTCCGCAGGGTAGAAGCCCAGGGCCCAGCACCTCAGGGTGACCTCATGCTCAGAGATGGGGTGGCGGGTCACGTGTGTCTTTGGAGGGTCTGAGGGAAGGGGAAGAGGATTCAGGAATTTTGCTTCCACCATGGGACCCTCCAGCAGGGCTCAGGTGACCATCCTGA